AAATATCTTGTACACATTCTTGACCGGTCACTGCAAGATTTGATGGGCTGCAGAAAAGCGTTCGGAGGAAAAATAATGATTTTCGCTGGTGACTTTAGGCAAATACCTCCAGTCGTGCCGAGTGCGAGATGTCAAAATGATATTATTCAAGCATCCCTCCGAACATCTTCTTTATGGCATGAAATGACCCAATTTTCTTTGACAGAAGCTCAAAGAACGCGCAACGACGAGGGATATTCAAATTTTTTGTTAAACCTCGGCTCCGGTGCCTGCGAATCACACACTTTTGGCACAGGCAGAAATATCCAAACACTAATTAGTTTACTGCATTTAAATGTGGTTTCCGAACTCGACCATTTGCTTGACTTTGTTTTTCCTGGCGATATGTTGTGCGATCCAGATGAATGCGCGAGTAGAGCAATATTATCCACTCATAACACTAATGTTAATGATATAAACGCCCATATACTAGAACGCGTTGATGGCGAAATGATTCATTGCTATGGTGTTGATAGCGTAGATGTGGAACATGCCGACGAATTTCATCTGGGTCCCGATATGCTACACAAAGTACAAGCTAAGGGAGTGCCTGATTACGATCTGCCAATAAAAAAGGGCTGCGTCTGCATGATAGTAAGAAACCTCAGCTTTGTAGACCGACTCGTGAACGGTACTAAGGTAGTCGTTGTAGATGTATCGCCAAGACTGGTGACGGTTCGGAAACCGCATGACTCGGAAACTTATAGAATACCAAGGATTTCTTTCAAAGCACCCATTGAACCGGGAAGTCCTATTGAAATGTGTCGTCGACAATTTCCATTGCAAGTATGTTACGCGATGACTGTACATAAAAGTCAAGGACAGACCATAGATAGAGTAGGCGTAGATCTGCGGTCCGATGTGTTCAGCCATGGTCAACTGTATGTCGCCTTAGGTCGAGTACGGCATGCTGAGAACATTAAAATTTTAATTCCAAAAGAGCGAATCGTAAACGGTGTGCCATATGTAAAAAATGTAGTGATTAAAAATTTGTTGACTTAAGCTTAACACATTGACAGCAACAATTAGAACTCACTACCTACATACTTATATAGCTTTGGTGGCGGCTTATTAGTTTTTATGTTTTTATATAATATATTTATATACACTTACGTGAAGTAACGCTATTGCGATCGTCAAAAATGATAAGTTTCGAGCAGTTCAACTTCTTGTATTATAGAATTATATTAAAAAATAACACTCAAGACGTAATGCTTAGTCTTCAACTATTTTTGACTATCGTAATCGTCCACCACACTACTCCAAATTCACTCATTCATTTTATTGACACATTCGTACTCCTATGGAAGAGAGTTGTATATAAATATTAAAAATTAATTTAATTATCATACAAACTATTGAAATATTAATATTCTTATAATTAAAACAAATGTTGTATATCGTACTAGACTTTATTAGAAACATATTTTTAAAATTTAATTACCACTTTATTCTTAGAGAAATAGCCGATGTTCTCGTGTATATTGTAGATATGTCTTCTTTGCCTCATTGTAAGTAGATGTGAAGTATAAAACATTACATTATAATTTAAAGTCATTATTCTTAATAGAGTGGTATACTATTATCTACTATTTAATTCAATATTACAGGTACAATAAAATATTTATTCCTGCTTTATTATTATTGAACAATATTATAAAAAAAAAATCTTAAAAAATTGAAATGGTAAAAATAACAAAATATAAGTATTGTTTACCACTCTATTCTATAGTTCTAATACAGTGGATTATGCCTGTCTTTTTTCTTCTCTAAAATTTTAGAGCACTTGTATATAGTAGTACCTATGAACTTGGGAAAAGACTGGGACACCACTTTAAAAAAAACGCGATGTGATTGTACCTCTTGGGTGTCGTGGAAACCAATCTAATCGACACCCAAAAACATCTCTATGTAATACAGTTTTAAGTTTATTAATAATATTTTTTGTTTGTTGCATAATATACCTGATGAGATTATTGGGAGATCAACAATGGAAACATTCGAGCACAGAAGTGTACAGAACAATGAAAAATCAATAGCAATTGCAATATCAGTCGGCTGTTACTAAATAATCTTAGTAACATTATGAAGACGTTAAAATTATAAACGAAGCTAACCACCATTATGGTCCACACAAAATATGTTATACACATTTTGTTGTTAAGTAAATATTATATAGTAGAAGAACATCTGTTTCTGTTATACTAATAAAATTCAATTATATTCTATATTTTTTTTATTAATTATCCTCATTACTGATTCACTCTTCAGTAAGGCCACAGGCCAGTAATATAATGTATAGAAATGTAGGTTGTTAGGCTTTGTAAAATATAAAAAATGGGTTATGTTCAGTTTTATGACCTCTACATTTGAAATTGTAACCCCGTTGTATAGTATTAAATATGGGTTAGGTTAGGTTTCGTATTATGCTTTCTATATTAAAAAATGTGACCCCAGACTAATGTGGTATACAGAAAGGTACAGTAGGTTAGGTTTTGTATGGTGACCATTGCAATAGAAATTAATCCCACAGGTCAAAATGATAATTGTGGCCACAGATCAATAAGGTGTACAGAAAGGTAGGTAATGTGAGGTTCTGTATTGTGATCATTGCAATAAAAATTAAAGCCACAGGTCGAAATAGTATACAGAAAGGTAGGTTAAGTTAGGTTTTGTATTGCGACTCTTACAGTAGAAATTAAGACCTCAGAATAATATAGTAAACAAAAAGGTAGGTTAGGTTAGGTTTCGTATTATGTTCTCTACATTAAAAACTTTGACCCCAGACTAATATAGTATACAGAAAGGTAGGTTAGGTTAGGTTTTGTATTGTGACCATTACAATACAAAGTTTCGCCACAGGTATATATGGTACACGTGAAACAGAAATTCACTGTTACAATAGGAAGTCACCTAATCGTATCAAAACAGACAACTCTAACAACGAAAAGAAAACCGTCTTCACAAAAAAAATCAGCGACAACGCCTCGCGGGCCTCTTGAGGCCCGCGCACACACGCACCCTCTAGTAGTATTATAAATGCACAGTATTATTTTGTAGTTGCTCTAGGCGCTCGGACGAGTCTCTATTTTAAAACATTTCTCCCTACAGAATAGTAGACACAGCCAAAATTATACTTGTTGTGTGAGCATAACGATTTTTATATTGATTGACCACGGGAGATAATTGGTGTATAATGTATAATTACGATTAAAGATGGAATGTATCGATTCAACAAAGATAACAAATGTACCTTCCCTCCACTCATTAAAAATCGTCACCTATATAATCAAGATTAAGCGTTTAATGGATAAATTATCCGCTTTAAAAACTTCAGAAACCAGACTATTATAAGAGGTTTTTAATTAAATAATAAGTGTGCTTAATCTGCTTATCAGCTTTGATTTTATTTTCTATTTGTTATTGTATAAAAATACTAACTGCATATTATGTAAATGTAGTCAAGGTATATATTTTGTTGGATTAGATATGATTTATTATTTAATCGTAATTGATATTTTACAAGATTTCTATTTCATTATAGCTACCTGGCATGCATAATAAAAGAATGCAAAGCAGTGTGAAATTATTTTTTTATTGTTTATTAACACTGTAACTGAAAATAAAACATAAGCTTTATAAAATTAAGCCATTCCAATAATAATCTTACTCAAATCGTTGTATTTGTTTAAATTTTTTCTGTTAACCGCACTATTATACTAAATGAACGCATGTCTTGCTGTCCTTGTATATTATCAGATATCTACAATACCTTAGCTGAGAAACGCGAAAGCTATCATCATTAGAAGCCACTTTGTCAGTTTTAGTTGAAGCTTCTGATTGCGATGTTGTAAATACTTCGAAGCGAAATGTATTCTACGCGGGTGCACTTTATTTCAAAAAGTGAAAAAAAAAATAGAAAGAAGTAGAAGGTAAATAGGATGTCAGCAATCGTGTCTGGAACTAAGAGACGTAGCTATTATCGCCGGAAGTGGGATATTGTTTCCGGAATCAATGATGCTACGTACTCAACATACTCTCTTTTCGTGTATTCACATACCTATTTCTGGAAGTTTTTACTAAGAGAATTAATAAGAAACGCAGCAGAAGTTTATCGACTGTAACTGGTCATGCCATAGTGCCGTCTAAAAGATGATGATAATAGAACCTTTAAAGCAGCTTTTCCAACAATGGAGTAGACAACACGCACGGTCCCCGCCTGATGTACGATTATCTACGAAACAGGTTAATAAATGACATCACACTCCATTCTAACAAACGCCTACTTCATTTATATTTATTTGCACACTGCACAGCATTGTGATAGTAATAGATGTGATATTTCATATAAGGTATATTTATTATGCATCTGTGCTGGTGTCAACAGTCATCGTGTCGGAAATTTTGGAATATGAATGCCCTTAATATCTTGTGATGTAGTTGTACACTAGCAAAGTAGATTCTATATTTTGGAATAATATGTCGATCTCGTATATCGTCTTGATTTTTATTCGTTTCTGTATTCGTAATGTTAATGGAGTGCCGTGTTTGCCAAGTTACATCTTATTCCGCTTGGCTCTTCCTTTATTGTATGGTCCGTGTAATGTCTGTTTGATAATTAAGCCCAATTCGAATATTAAGGTGACGGTAATTTAGCTGGTTGGTACTTTGAAATTAAAATTTAATAACAGATTTAGTAAGTAACTAAACATATACATGGATAGAATTGGAAATTTATACAGAACTAGAATTTTGATAAAATAAAAATAAATTGATTAAAATCAATTTGACATGCGATTAAATAAAGTGATTAAATGTGGCGACATTTTGTTCGCGAGTTATTTTAGACAGTAAGTAGTTAGTTATTGTAAAGAATGAATATAAGTAAAGATAAATGTAATGCTGACTATTGCACACTAATACTGATTAAATTGTTTGTGGGTATAGTGTGCATTTTATAGTTATTGATTGGTGTTAGTTAGCTTACCGAGGTTTTCAGCACTGGCGTTGACGTCGTATCGATGCGCCGGTTTGGAGTGTGGAGCGGGAGAATGTAGCGAGGTGCTCTTGTGCCGGCGAATTGTCGGCAGACGGGATACAAAAGACGCATTGTTCTTGAATGATGCACTCATCACCCGACTGTCAAATATACATACACTCGTCAGTCACGCGACACTCAAAGCACTGTAGCGTTTTTAAAAACTTCACATCCCGTAATGAATTGTGCATTTAAATTATATTGTAGTTATCAATCACTACTTTCTATCTGGACATCCGCATATGTATAAATCCAGCTGTAGAAAACAACTTACCTGGTTTGAGGGCTGGGAAGTGGGACTTGGTGGATTTTCCATGTAGCCACACTCATGGAATGTTCATCAGCTGCGTAACATCGCCATAATGCTTGAATAAGGGTAGCTGCTGGTTGACGTCTTCGTATCATATGCTTTTGACGCTGTTGCTGTTGTACTTTCAAAGCAAATCCAGATCCCAAGATACCCTACAAGAATTTGCATTTGTAGATATATTTCAGCACACATGGATACGAATTAAATTAACGAATAACACAAGGTGATTGTATTTAAGTAGTTCTCACCGCAGGGAGCGCGAAGAATGATATACCGAGTAAAGCACAAAAAGATGCGATAAATTTTCCTTGCCACGTCTGTGGCACCATATCACCGTACCCCACAGTGCACAGCGTAATCTGTGATAAATGCATACTCTAGTTATAACTTAGGTTTTTTTTATTAAATACAATTCTACGAGCTTCAATTGTATACTTACAACACCCCACCAAAGGGCTTCCGCAAAGTTTTTGAATTTTGTATCTGCCACATCTTTTTCTGCTAAATATACTAAGAATGATGCAAATATCAGCCCAAGGAATCCTATATATAGTGTTGTGATTAATTCCTGAAATAAATAACTCCATTTAAATACTGTTTAGTTAATGTTTACGGATATACGTTTCTTTCTTTATTTCATAACCAACAAATTACTTTTGTTTACCATCAAATTAGAATTAGAATTTCATGGTATAGAAATGTAACTTGTGTAGAATACTAACAGAACGAAGCGAACATAGCGCTATTAAAACGAGATACGCGGAGTTCATACTAAGGGATTTTTCTGCTACATTAGATAAGTTGAATGTAATAAAAACTGTAATTTATAAAAATGTGTATTTTTACTCTTGGATTTCATGAAAATATATAAAAGGGAATAATGTTACATTTTTCTTTCATAAGTATTCCTACAATGAGAGAAGACTTGAAATCTGCTTTTGCAGTATACAAATAGGTTTGTTTATAGTTGAACAAGAGAATGAATTACATAAATAAAATATTTGTAAGAGAACTTCTTGTATAATTTTAGACTGGACTAGCAACTGACAATCTTCCAAGATGCTAAATATAATAAAACTTATTTTTTTAATATTTAGCCACTTGGAAAATCGTTTCATTGTATTGGTATCGAGCCGTATTAGTGTTTATCAATAGACTTCCATCTTTACGGTTTTTGATCTGGAAATTCTATGTAATTAATTATTATGAAATGAAAATGAAATGAAAAACACTTTATTGTTCCCCTCACAGAAAGAGTAATTACATAAATTAATATGTACATTAAATATGAAAATAATAACAAAATAATTATAATATAGAGGTAACAATGGGCGGCCTTATCGCTAAATAGCGATTTCTTCCAGGCAACCTTAGGATGGAGAGGAGTGATTAGACTGTGTCTGGTCGAGGTGTAACAATTTGTTGTTGGATGTACAATTTACATATCATATGATGACAGGCTAGAATTAGTTGTAATACGACGTATTTATTTGCATTAAGTTAGGTTAGTTACAACTTGCTAAATCCTAATAGTCGTTACTTATTTAAGCTGGACATTATACTATTGACGATATGATTCGATTTAGCACGGCCATCTTCTCTATTTCTAGCCTGACTATTGGAGGTCTAGCGAATATGTTCGTACCTATCTGATATTGTTAATATTGAGGAGTTACACTTTGTTAGATGTAATATAACTTTAACCTGAACTATCCGAACTTACTGTTAGTATCGTGTAGTAGGTATTGAATCTTGGCTTGTATTGTGCTGTTGATATCTACTTGGAAGCCAAAGGAAATTGCGCCCCGTTTTGCTTACTCAGCATGGTTATGTTAAACTTACATTCGGACAAGCCTGACGAGGGGCTACTCATTATCGTAGGTACAATATCTATATTTACTACAGCTTTGTAGATAAAAAAAAGAGTCATCAAATACTTGAAATATGGGATTCTACAGTTCGTGATACTATAAAAATTATGTTGGACAAAGGAACAAGATAAGTTCTGAAATATATAATTATAAAAAAATAATAAAAAGACATCTCGTAGCGTATCTACTTCGGTGCTCACGCACTCTAAGTCAAATTTTGTTTCTATTTATTCTGTATTTAACAGCACTAGTTACTACATTTTACTTACCTACATACCTACTACAATATTGTGTACGTACATACATACGTAAATCAGATCATGATTGGACAGCAATGGTACTTCATATTCTCATTATCATTATTCATTTTCGTAGTACCTAACTGTCATTATATATTTGATAATCAATAATTCATGTAATTTATCAAGTAAATGATTTACCTAACTCTATCATCGATCCTTCGAGCCAGATGACCTAAATATAATACGTGTGATATAAATTTTAATACATTCTAGAATTTATCGTTTCACGGCATAATTATCTATTGATGACATTAATTGTTCAATATATCCTAACTAATATTTCATAATTAAAAGATTATCATATTCCATATATGCATGTAAATATCCATTATTTACATGCATACATAGAATATGGTAATTTTTAACAATTCTGACGTATGAATTGCAAAGTTCTTTTTCTGCTCATAAAATATTGTTGCGGTGTCAGATGCAGTCAACAACAAATTATTTATTATTAATAATATGCGTAAATATGTATTGCAAAGTACAAGTAAATTTGTTAACACGGAGCGTCTGTTTTATTTACGAGTAAATTACGGTTTATGTTAAACTCGTATACGAACATAGCTATAGCTATGCATGCGAGCTGTACTTATAATTAATTCACCTCGTCTGGTAAAGGGGATTGAGAGAATCGCCCAAGGACCTCTCCTTAATCTTTGAACCTATTTAATAATTATGAAGTATTAAATAGAATAGGTTAATTATTCTGAGAGTAGCTAATGTGGCTATGAATCAATGAGTCATTTATTGTTTATATAAGTATAGTGTCCATTCAAATTGTGCTTCAACAGCGAATTGTTTCATAATATTTTTATAAAGCTAAATACTGAACTGCATCAGTACCGATTTTTTAATATCTGTCGGAATCCAGAAAACATACATTTCATGATTGACATCAAATTCTTCTGCTTCTGTTGTTCCTATGACTATAGTCGACCATCAGTTTGCGTTGTCTTTGTTATGTATAGTTAGCAGGATGAGCTAGATAAATAATACTCCATAAGAGTTCGTAAATAATTAATTACGCCGTTGTTATGAAATTAATATGAGACTATATGTCACTAGTGGTACATCCCGGCTTCGCACGGGTATTAAATAAATTTTAAAAATATAAAGTTTATGACACACATATATCCGTTTATATCGATGTGTCTATAACAGTATTATATCACTTCGTTCTATTGTCAATCATTTACGCAGTATACGCGATAAAAAAAAAATATTTTGTTTTAATTTCACTCATTGGATTACATTATCAAAGTTTCCATACGTACTCTAACATTTTTGAAAATATTCTATCGCCTCTGTTTATCAGCAGAAACATAGCAGATTTATGGGATTCTAATGATAGAAGAAATTTTCAAATCGGTCCAGTAGTTTCGGATCCTATTTAATGTAAACAATCAAATCTTTTGTCTGTATAATATAATACATATAGTATAGATATATAGATAGTATAGATATCTATAGCTAAAGTTACCTTTGTGCGGTGTTAAATTGTACATTTACACATAGAACATACACTTTCCTTTGTTCTACTCTACATAATCTTACGAGTTCTTTGTATAATATCCTACTTTCATAATATTTTTGCATTTATATTAGACTTCGTATTTTATCTAGCAGGGCTAGTTTAATAAACGACTACCTATACCTATTAAATATAGTAGCAAACTAGTCTAAATTCCTACTTTTTCAGAACGTATTAATAATATTATAATTTACAATATCTACGTACATTACGTAATTTTTAAATTAATTAAGAGTATCTATTTTAGGAGGACTCCGCAGACAAATTACAAATTATAAAATGTTGTTGATTGTTTGAACTCATATTTAACATGATTTAGAAGTTCCACAAATTTTTCAATTCTTGTTCAAGTATACACATACATGAACATGAATTACATATTCAGTAGGTATATGTGTTTACATATACCATTGAAACGTTATAAATTAGTCATATCTATCTATCTTGACTTCGTCTACATCTGCAGTTATTTATATATATATATATATATATATATATACCTCACACAAAGTCTACCGACTATTTGATGAACTCTAAAAAGGTCATAAAGTAATAGATAAACAATGACGTTCCTGCAATCAATAGAACGATTCTGAAAGAATGTCTATAACTATTAAGTATTAATATATTTGTCGATTGCTTTATTATTTAAACATATCAGAAATTCCTCTTAATATATCAAGTTTAATGTATTTATACTCCAGAGGGATAAATAGACAAAGGCCTGATTATTATCAGTATTTAATCGTATAATTCAGTCATTATGGCAGGGTAGCATATATTAAATAAGAATAAATATTAAATAATTTGGACAATTAATGCATCATGCATGATTATAGTTCAATTAAATAAAGGATTATTTGAATAAAGGATTTTCTATTAAACAATAGAAAAATAGACTCTGTTTTTTAAATTTGTATCTACTAGCTAAAAAACAATTATTATATTTATACGGTTATTAAAACCCATCGGTTTTTTACTGTAAGTTCGGCCGGAACCTATAAAGTAAACAATTATAATGCGATACTGACAACTGTTAGACATTAATATATCTAGCGGAATCTCATGCGTTTGTGTGAATAAATGTACCTAACATTTCGTCACGTGTAGCTTGATTTTGCCTATTGTTATTTTCGCCTCCAAATCTCTTGTGATGTTATACACGTCTAGTAGAGAACGATATTCGAAAAACATGAAATTTTGTGTTGAAGATGTAAATGATGATGAAAGTCTTTATTATATACATTTTAATGTCTAATAATAATAATCAGTATGTTACTTCTATTTCATTTACAAAATTTAACAAAATTTAAATAACCTGTCGGTGAGCGTAAACTACGGAGCCTAGTAATTTCCAGGTACCGCCACGGCGGTCCATTCGCACCATACGAAGTATCTGGAAGAACCGCAGTCCTCTTAGAGCAGACGCCGCAAACACTTGCCCAGAAGAGCCCATGCCCAACACCACTAACGAAGCGAGGATCGTTGTAACATCTAGTAGAAAAAAAGTATATTTTAAATATTAAGAATATTTAAAATAATTATAAGTAATTATATTGAAAATTGCGTAAAGCTGTTGACTTAAAAATCACTGATTTTCCTATCTGAGATTGTAGGGTAAATCATAGATACCGAGTTCATTCATTTACCAAACGAGTAGAAAGAAGTGAGACATTAATAATTGAAGCCGAGTTGAATAATTTGGAGAGGTTCATTTTATTGTTCCCAGTTGGGATATCGTGCGGCCATATTTGGCGGTTAGTACGGTCTCGAGCGGGCCGGTTCCCCGGAGACTCGAATGGCGGTCGCACGAAACTATTGCCGCTGGAAGGAGGTGGAAAATGCGAAGGTCACAGCAGATTGGTCGCACCTGAAATAGGGTCACTTCGTCACGGTTTATGGACGGATCGTGACTTTTACTTGGAAATGTTGAAAATGTAAGAACACTTGACTACGCCTTTACAATATTTTTGGCGGAAAACTTGTTTTGTCATATTTGTTCGGTAGTATCCTCAATTTACTCCGACAATTGTTTTTGTAAACTAGATTTTTAGATTTAGAGAATTGTCTTATATATCAACACATAGAATTAAAGTTATATGTTTAGTGTAGGTAAGTATTATTTTAATTTGTTAATACAATTTTTTATATTAATTTTAATATTTTCTTAAGTGAAATTTGTTATATTATACTGAAATTATCATATTATATAATATAAAATTATATTTAATAGGAAAATAAGTTATATGTGTAATAAAACAAGCCTTAAATGTAATAAAACAAAATTCTGGAATAGAGGAACATTAGTGGTCAATATATCAATTAATAAATTATTATCTTTAGATTCTTTTTTTTTCTTATTTACGAAATTTGCAGCAGGAACCGTACTCATTAGGGTTGAACAAGTGCATCTGTTCGGAAGAATACTCATCGCAGTCTCGTTGTAACATACGAGTATTATTTATTATTATAGTTGTGGTTTCAACTTTTAAAACTCACACATCGTATTTTGGAACGTGTGAAAAATTACACATTTGTAGAATATATAAATAAGTTTGAAATTGATAGACGACCGTAGTGCAACGGTTTAGCGCACTGCCTCACTTTACCACTTCAATTGATTATCGTGGTTGTAGGCGACGCACTACGTTATCAAAATATTGTATCTTTTTTTTTTATAAAATTAATTTTATTATTATATGTACGTATATATGCATAAATATACACGATACGTTCGTCATTTTTTAATAAATATATATGAGGGTGCGCACAATATAATTAATATAAATCTACCCGTTTTCTACACAATATTGTAGTCGGATTCAGACGATCGCGGTGACGCTCGGTGTCACACATAAAATAAGTGCGTGCTCTCAGTTTGCGAAAATAAGTCGGTGTTTTAGTTCCATCCTTTACAAAGCTGATCCTTCTCGCCAAATCTGAACCAGAATAATGTTCAATACACCGCCGCGCGATAAAATAATTTCGTACAAAGAACGCCATAGACTGACCGATAGGTTAGAATGTGCTTCGGAGCATGTGCTCGCTAAAGACACCGCCGCTGTAATTCCGCCGCGTAGCACGGTACGGAGTAATATATCGCTACGTGGAGAAAAGGAGCTCTTCATGCAGCAAAATATGTCATCGCAACGTCCTCTACGGGATCCGTCAGTTACGTCATCAAAGGCGTCAGAGATCAAACGAAAACAGTTGGAACTGGAGGCTGCCCGTGCAAAGGCAAAAATTCAACTGGATTTGATTGATAAGGAGCTGGAAGCTAACCTGGCCATCATCACGGATGGCAGCAGAAGGTCCATTCACTCTTCTAAGCACGCTTCAGTATATGACCCACATATTAATTCCCATGTTGAAGACTGGCTAGAACAGAGTAATGTACAACCGCCGTGTAACGCTGATCAGGAGTTGAACACGGCACCGATGATGCAAGCAGTGCCGGCAACCGATTGTCCACAACATAGCCGCTCTGCACCAGTCAATGGAGAAGATAGTATTCTGCAGCTAGCACACACCCTGAAGGATATGATGGTGAACTCATCATCACACCAGGATGAGCGCTTACTAACCCGTCTCGCCACACCGAGGGAATTACCCACTTATTTTGGCGATTGCATGGAGTGGTTACATTTTAAAAGTGCATACATGGAGTCCACTCGCGTGTGTCAGTTTAGTGATTCGGAGAACCTGTGGAGGTTACGCCGTGCACTAAGAGGTGATGCTAAGGAGGCAGTCACCGATCTGTTAATCGGAAACACGTCACCCGGCGACATCATATCTGCGCTGGAACTGAGGTTTGGCCGTTCCGATATTATTATTCACCATGTAACTACACAGATAAAAAAGTTACCATCTTTACCTACTCATTATCAACAAGATATAGTTAATTTTTCAATAAAAATTAATAATTGCATTGCTACACTCAACGCAATGAATCTGCATGATTATTTGCGCAGCCCAGAGCTCGCGTCAGCAATATCATCGAAATTACCAAGTATATTAATTAGTAAATTCACTGATTATGCATTTGATCGCTTGACAGATGATACACCAAAACTAATGTTATATGCATCTTTTTTAAAACGTGAGGCTGAAATGACGTCGGCTCTCGGTCTATCACAGCCGCGAGAACAAAAGAAACCCGACATGCCTACAATAAATAACAAGCGAACTGATGATCGCTACCGCTACAACTATAATAAACAAGTATTTACAACTACAACTATTAATGAATCTAAATTATGTAGATTTTGCAACAAATCACAACACTTATTGCCAGATTGTCGATTATTTCGAAGAGCTATGCGTAAGGATCGATGGAATTTTGTTAAAAATAACAAGCTATGTTATTGTTGTTTATTGGCGCGACACGATCGTATGTCATGCGCTGCACCTGTATGTAACATAGACGACTGTGGGCTGGCGCATCACACATTGTTGCATTACAGAAAGCCCATCCATACAGACACACAGCCCGTGACCACTATGGCGACATCATCACAACATGAATCATCGAGTACCGACGCGACTGTAGCCTATGTGAACTCCGCTACCGACGGGACTGCGCCCGGGCTACCGGGGCGCGGTCGCTCCCCCACAGTGACGTCATGTGATGTGATACTCAAAGTAGTTAAAGTGAAGTTAAGTGGACCCAACGGTACAGTGAGTACTTATGCCTTATTAGATGACGGTGCTTCGATATCGATGATCGATTCCGGCTTAGTAAATGAACTTGGTCTTAAAAGTTTAAGTTCTAGTTCTATTAAATTAATTGATGCTTTTGGTTTAGAAGTATACCAGTCTGATGCTCCTAAAGTCTGTTTAAATATTTCTGGCTATGATAATTGTAACTATAATAAGTGTAACTATAATATAACTTTACGTAATGTATCTAAACTAAAATTACCTATGCAAAATTTGTCTGTAATAAATAATATTCACTGTGATTATTTATCATCTGTAAAACAATTTGTATGTACTGAGAACGTGGTGCCTCGTCTGTTAATAGGTGAAGATAATTATTTTCTTTTAGCGCCGTTAGAAATATTACACGGTAATAAATATGAACCCTATGCAACGCGTTGTCGCTTAGGCTGGTCGATACATGGTAGTTATGGTCGCACGAACTCATCACTCACACAGGGGCACAGCTTCCACGTTACACACAACGACGAGGTAAGTGAAATTACTATATTAAACAACTTAGTTAAAAATTCATTTGAACTGGACTGCATAGGAATATCAACCTTACGCCGTGAGAATACGGCCGATTTAAGAGCGGTTAATATATTAGATCAGACCGCGCGAAACATAGGTAACAGGTGGGAGGTCGGACTGCCATTCATTAAGGATGTTTTATGTATACCTGATAGTTACAACTATGCACTATCACGCTTGAACGGGTTATTGAGAAAATTTAAGTCGGACAGCGCGTACGCTGATAGGTATAAAACAGAGATGCACAAGTTGTTTGATAATGGTTATGCTCGAGTTTTAAAGGAAAATGAACTTGTAGGTAATCGTATATGGTATCTCTGTCATTTTGGCGTGCTAAATCCGAACAAACCCAGTAAGCTGAGGTTAGTGTTTGACGGTGCCGGTAAGGTCAACGGCTTGTGTTTAAATGACTTCTTACTTACTGGACCCGATTTGTATAACTCATTACTAGGTATTATGTTGCGATTCCGCGAACATAAATATGTTATAGTAGGCGATATAAAGGACATGTTTTTACGTATACGTATCAGAGCTGAAGATCAACACTTATTTAGGTTTTTATGGCGGGAAGACGACAAGTCCCCGTTAAAAATATGTGTCATGCAAAGTTTAGTTTTTGGTGCAACTTGTTCTCCATTCATTGCGCAACATATAAAAAATAAAAATGCGCTTAAATATGAGGATTTGTATCCGGAAGCGGTAGATGTTATTATTAACAATCATTACATGGATGACTGTTTGTACTCGTGTGACAGCGAAGAAAAAGCAATTAAATTAGTTCGTGAAATTACGGAAATACATAGTTACGGCGGATTCGAGATAGGCCGCTGGTCGAGTAATAGCAAACCGGTTTTGAACACAATACCGCATCGAGCGCTCACTCAGTCTGCTGTTGATTTTAAACACGGAGCTAATAATACAACTGAGCGCACTCTCGGTTTGATGTGGTATCCTAATGACGATGCATTTGCTTTTAAAATATCATTCAACCGTATTCCGCAAAACATAATAAATGGCACGGAGCCACCTACGAAATCTCAAATGCTTAGTATATTAATGTCTGTTTATGATATTCATGGTTTTCTTGCTCCTTGTATAATTAAAGGTAAAATATTATTTCAAAGTGTACATCGTAGTGGTGTCGACTGGAAATGCCACATCCAACCAACAGAGTTTGTTCAGTTTACTAGTTGGTTATGTGAACTAAAGAACTTAGATTCTTTACGTATACCTAGGTGTTATATTAATGGTAATGAGTGGACTTTTTGCTATAATGAATTACCGAATATTACATGTATTAATAATAATTTTGTAGACATACAACTCCACACTTTTTGTGATGCTTCAACAAAGGCATACGCTGCCGTATCTTATTGGCGATTGATTCGGTCGGATTGTTGTGTTCAAGTTAGTTTCGTTGGTAGTAAAAGCAGAGTGAGTCCACTCCGTCCTATTTCAATACCGAGGCTTGAATTACAGGGAGCGGTAATAGCCGCCCGCCTTGCAAATATTATTGAGACCGATCATAAGGATTTTAAACCAGCAAAGCGTTACTTTTGGACAGATTCTAGTACGGTTTTACAATGGATCCGTAGCGATCCGCGTAATTATAAACCTTTTGTCGCTCATCGACTCGGTGAGATAGATGAGCTGACGAAAAACTGTGAGTGGCGTCATGTGCCGTCTGATGCTAACGTAGCCGATGTAGCTACACGAGATGATGCATCACCACTGTCATACTCAGACCCGTGGTTCCAGGGTCCTGCCTTTCTACGGCGACCTGAGAGTGAGTGGCCTAAAGATCGTAAGTTCTCCAAGACATCGCAAGATGTGACTTGTGAAGAACGATCAATTAATGTGGTTATGTACAGTTCAGAATTATCTTTGCCTAGCGAAGATAATATCTCGAATTGGATCACATTAGTGCGAGCCACCGCCCGCGTGTTATTATTTATTAACAAATGTCGGCGTAAAAACATTCAGTTTGATGTTTCTTTAATGAAAAGAGCTGAAATTTTATTAATTAAAAAATGTCAGCAGGACAGTTTCTCTGTTGAAATATCTTGTTTACAACAGAATAAACCTATAATGCGTAATAGTCGATTATTAAAACTTAGTCCTTATCTCGATGAGACAGGAGTACTGCGTGTCGGTGGTCGCATCGATAGAGTGGCAGGAGTAGAACTGTCTACGTTGAGACCTGCAATACTTGATGGCGGACATAGAATTACTCGGCTCCTGGTCTACCACCACCATAAAGAAGCTATGCATGGTTCTAACGAACTCGTTGTAAACCAGTTACGACAACAGTACTGGATACTTAAATTGAGACCAACAGTTCGTACTGTGTCTACCCAGTGCCTCACCTGTCGGTCACGTCGCGCCGCACCGCAGCCTCAGCGGATGGCTGATTTGCCAGCGGCGAGACTACAACATAATAGGAGGCCGTTTAGTTACACTGGCGTTGATTTTTTTGGACCTATAGAAGTCACTGTCGGTCGCAGGAGGCAGAAGAGATATTGCATGCTCTTCACATGCTTGACAGTACGTGCAATTCACATGGAATTGACTGAAGATCTGTCCAGTGATTCAGCAATAATGGCTTTACGTCGTATGGGAGCCCGGCGGGGTTTACCTCTAGTTATCTACTCAGATAACGGAACTAATTTAAGGGGCGCCTACTCTGAACTTAAACGTAGTATTGCAGAATTAAATACTAAATTGTTATGTGATGATGGCACAATACGAGGTGTTGAATGGCGTTTCATTCCCCCAGGCGCTCCAGAAATGGGAGGCGCTTGGGAGCGAATGATACGTACTGTTAAGACAGCCTTAAGTAACTCTCAAAGAGGGAGCCCCTCATCCTGACACACTAGCCACTATCTTAACAGAGGTTGAGGCTTTGGTTAACAGTCGACCTATAACACACGTCTCTCTGGATCCCGACTATCCAGAGGCTTTAACCCCAAATCATTTTTTAATTGGTACGCCATCCAGCGGTCCCACTTATGGACTTTTCAATGATTCTGACCTTTGTTTACGAAAGCGTTGGCGTATAGCGCAACGTATTACGGATATGTTCTGGAGTCGTTGGATAAAGGAATATCTGCCTACGTTACTACCTCGACAAAAATGGATGGAGGAGTCGAGATCATTACAGGTAGGTGATTACGTAGTAGTAGTGGACCCTAAACTGGATCGTGGATGCTGGCGTCATGGAGTGGTCAGCTCAAGTCATACAGGTGAGGACGGCCGCGTACGCGTCGTAGACGTACGCACCCGGGCGGGACTGCTGCGTCGACCAGTCACTCGCGTCGCCTTACTATCACCAGCTAGTGTTAGTAGTGCTAACTAGTTAGCACTAAGGAGGCAGAATTGTAGGCGACGCACTACGTTATCAATTTTTTTATAAAATTAATTTTATTATTATATGTACGTATATATGCATAAATATACACGATACGTTCGTCATTTTTTAATAAATATATATGAGGGTGCGCACAATATAATTAATATAAATCTACCCGTTTTCTACACAATATTGTAGTCGGATTCAGACGATCGCGGTGACGCTCGGTGTCACATAAAATAAGTGCGTGCTCTCAGTTTGCGAAAATAAGTCGGTGTTTTAGTTCCATCCTTTACAGTGGTTTTGATTCCAGCACAACATAAACATTTGTTTTCTTTAGTACTTACTGTAGTTACGTATGACTATTTGTATAAAAAAGACCGAATTAGGTCTTTTTTATGAATACTACTACTACTTTCTTACTATCATTCACGAACTTACAATTATACTTTTCTTAGGAATTACATAACTGATTAATGAAAACCCCATGAAAATCGTTTTTAAGATTATCGCGAACAATGTTTCACAAAGTTACAAGAGTTTCGCTCAGTTTGAAAGTAGATGGCACAGTTATACTTTTACAAAGACAATTATGTAATATTGTGACAACATAATTTAAATAAGAGCAATACTAAGTCAGTAAAATATGTAGAACGGAGTAACATATCTAATATTTAGACACTTTTTGATTCCAGAAATCAATTTCAGTACGATTAAATAAAAATTGGAAATGTATCAAACTCCGTTCCACATTTCAAATTGTTTCTTTATGATATGATTGATTGCCAAGTTTTCAGGATAGTAATATAATTTGGTAGTAATATTTTCATATTAAAATTCTTTTCATTTAAAATGCAAATATAAGGAATAAATTGTATAACCTGTGATTATCTATGAGCACTACATGCGTTATGAATAAATTTTGACAAACTCTATACCACAGCTAATCACGAACATGGTTTCTTTCTTCATGTTTTATTTCTATCTTTGAACCAAAGTTTAAACTCCTAAGCCGAAAACGATAGTTCGGGTCGGCCATTACCTAGAAGCACTTAAACTAATAAATTAATTGTAGGTAAAAGGATTTGCATCAAAACATAAAAGTGTACATATGAATATATAAATGATCAGAGCATCCTTGCGAGCAGTCTTCGTTCATGAGTATCTCGAATAGAATTATTAACTATAATAATTAGCTCATAATGCTTCACAAGAAACCAGACTAACAACAACGACTACAACTAATTAAATTTTATACTAATGTTACATAATGATATACTACTGTACTGTTGTTGTGTACCAGTATTTATATACTAGGTACACAACAATAGTAATTGAACTATATATATAAAAAAAAAAAAATCCGACGAAGTTGCGACTTTTATCACATAAAGAAATCTTTCTTTCCGTTTTCTAAGCAATAATAAACTAGAATCACCTTAAATTACAATAATTCGTTATTAGTAATAACACTATTGAAACTCACCGATTATGCAGAAAGGTCGCCTCAAAAATTTGAGGCGACCCATAGAACCTTGATACCGGGATCTGCATCCTGATGACCATAATCTAGGAACAAGAAAGAAAACATTATTACAAATTCTTTTCATGGCTAGCTTCGTTCTCACGAATCCGTTCCTATGGGTATATTTATATTTGTGAGAAAAAAATTAGATAATGTTTATGTGTAATTCGACTACACGTCACTTATTCTTATTTTAAAAAATATACAAATTATAGAGTACATGTACTAAAAATGAGCGAATAAATAAAACTGACTTATGTATACATATATCTTCTTGGCAGTTTTTAAGATTTAGTCTATCGATGAATACGGATTCGAAAGAAGTAATTTAAGGATTGCATTCTCTGCTTACACTTATAAAGAAGGAACTTATCTAACTCGCACGCGATCGTGAGAATAATGCAATTGCGGTTGCGGGCATACATGTATATATATTTATGTATTTCTAATTAATACAAATTTATTTACTTTTACTTTAGAAAACTAAGAATATGAGTACCTACTTATTATGTTACAAAAATAATACTAGTTATATTTGCAACTAATATCACCGTTTATATTAATCTTTATATACAATGATGGTATAAAACAACGCACGATGTACTATGTGATGAAAGTTAGAGAAAAGGGTATTTAGATTGAGCGTTCGACCGTTTATCACGGTTCGTCGACGTTTCCCATTTTGAGAGAAATATGTTGTGTGCCTTTGGAAAGTAAATTAAGTATATTTCTTGATATAATCTACAAATAGGTATATGTAGTTGTATCATATGCATATGATTTCCTTCAGGACAATTATTTCAAATGGAGTAGTCAGTCAGAGGGATTGTAATCTGTCAACGTTATGATAAACGTAACACTTGACATGATCTCATTTCACGTATCTCGATTTAATTTGATTTGCCATCGATGTTGCCACTACACGAGTGTCAACCACAAATACAAATTGATACCCAAATCCAATTTTTTTTGGTGTCCACCTGTTTGAGTTATACACACACACATTGAAGTCTCTATTATTGCATGGAACCAAAATATTTATAATTGAATGTATGAATATATAAATACGGTACATAAACCAAAATAACATTTTTTACAATTTTTGTCTGTCTGTCTATTTGTTCCGGTTAATCTTTGAAATGGCTGGACAGACTTTAACGGGACTTTTTTGGCCTAGCTGTATATAGCTGTGTATAGTTGTAGTAGCTGATGTAATAAGGAGTACCTAACTTAAGCTACTTTTAATTTAGAAAAATCTTTTATTTTAGAAAAATAAAGTTAAACACGGACGAAGTCGCGGGAACAGCTAGTTTTAATATATTGTCCGTTTTTCCCACTGATGTCGATATATGTATATATATTTTCTAATCGATAATTTAAATTCCGAGTTTTTAGATAAAGTTTACGTCGACGTCGGGCAGACACTTAGCAGTTAATAAAATAGCAGCAATTAATAATACGTAAATTACCAACAAAATGGTAATCGTGCTTGAATCGATGCACATTTATATAGAATGAGAACTTTAGTATTTTACTACAGAGGTCAGTTATTATCAATAAATGACATCAAGGAAAATAGTCTAGTTTTTTATGTCGTTATATTTTATGTGTCGTCTATCCTTAGCCATGCCCCATAGTAATCTGAATTTTAAAATTAATTATTTTTAATAAAACTATAAGACTGTGTGCTGTTTTAAATACTTTCTGTGTACAGCGCGGTGATTGATCAATTGAGATTATCATCAAGTATACTACATCCGTCGTGTAAGCAATTTCCTTGTCTATAGGGGAATAAATAAATACTCTATATGTAAGCCTCCTCTAAAAATGTAGACCTATTTTAAATATTACCATTTTGATTTGCAATCGTCCTTCTAGTGCGTTCTCGACAGTCCTCGACCGACGTCCCCACTTACATTTGCTTCTCTAAATACTCATCGTAAAACCCAATTCCTTATTCTTTTGCACTTTCGTATTGGAAGTAATGAAAGCAAATAATTTCTTTTCTGTTCTACCTAAAGATTGAATTTAGATATTTCGAGACTTTTCTTTCACTCCCAACAGGTTTATTTTCGTACAGTTACATCCAAACCAATAATTATAGAGCAAGTATTTAGATTTCTGTAGTCTAGATAAATAAACATAACGATAATTCTGTAAAATGGAATATTTTCGACAGTTACATGTTATTTACAAGTAATTCATGCCGGCAAGCGAAAACAATTTTTGTTTCAGTAGTATATATTTAATGTGATACACAAAAAACGTAAATTTTAATAAGCTACCGTTATATTATTTATTATACACAGAGTATTTAAACTTAGTAAAGTTCAAGCAGTTTATTTGTTTTAGATAAATAATATTAAAAAAGTACATGCACATGAACATCAGAATACTTTTTACGACGAATTACGTATCTGTATCGTCATACTACAACCTTAAAGGAAACAAATATGGTTTACTTTTTTAACAACTAACTTGTTGGTTGTACATAGGTACAGGTTCATACATGTCAATTAAACTTAGGAATATTTCTCTTTTAGTTTTATAGATGTATTTTTGTAAGTTTTTGTATCTGTAAGAAATGTATGTGTTTTTACACAGACGAAAAAACAAAAAATTATTTATATTATATGCTATAAATATAAAAAACTTTACAAATATTTTATAGGAGAATATACTCTTGAGTATTCTATACAAAAGTTATCTCTCAGGTTAATTAATTTGTTATTGGTATTTCTGTAGAGTCAGAGAAAATTTTATTATATTCCATCAATTGGACAAAGTATTTTCTGTCTGCCAGATACGAACGACTTTTGTAGTAAACTATTAAGCCACTATGATATTTTATAATTAACGTAATTTTTTTTTATATTAATAAGGTATGTATGTATGTATGGTATGTAGGCACCTGGTCAATTAATTACATTGTATAGATTGACTGCAATTGCAACTGTATAGTTTTTTCTTTGCGAAATAATCATTTATAGATTTAATAATCATTTATAGCTAAGTGTTCGTAACAAAGTACCTACAATTAAAATAAGAACTTCCTCGGAACAGGAAAATCGACGATAAATTGTATTCGTAAATGAGATAAATAATATGTGTGAAAAGGGGTGTCGCGTGAAAGTGACATATAGTGGTTAGTATAGGACCTCCCATAGGGGTGTTATAGATTTAGGTATCTCTGTGTTGTGGCCAGGGTCGGATTAATCATGTCGGGGTACGTTGGTAATGCAATTTTTCGGGCCCCCAGAGAGTAAAGAGGTCGTACAAATATATATTTATTATATATATATATATATATATAAATTTACGCTATTTAACTTAATATTATATAACTAATAATATTGCCTCATATTTTACACAGATATTATTTTGCACAGACTATCAAACATATAAATAGATTATTTTTTAATCGGAAAAAAGAGTATTTTATACGTTGTCAAGACGATGACGACGATTCACGACGGCAGTCTGCTACGCTAGCGTCAATACCTTTACCCAACAGTATTCTTTATAAAGGTATACAGAAAGTTTATACTATATAATATCACTGAGCGATGATATATATATTGATTATAAAATATTTTTTAAACAGGGTCTTCCAGCCGTTTTAGATCAATTTTTCAAGTTGTGAAGGCATGTAAGTAGAATTCAATTTTTTTTTATTATATCAAAATAGACTACGTATCAATATTAAATGATTCCGTTTTATAACTATGAAATATTTAATCTACCATCAGCATGCGTCGAAAAAAGTAATATTAGAATATCTGTTGCCATTAAGGATATAATAAAATTTTCACCGTATAAAATGTTTTCATTTTCTTATATGAGCTCTGGCTAATATTACTCCACACCTTTAAATTAATATTAGTGATTAATTTAATGTTGTGGAAATTTGCAAAATATTGCTTATTGTTTGATTGATCTATATTTCATAATAATATTAAATAAATAAATATAATATATTTTTTATTATTGTTGCAAAAGCACAATACTTTTCCAATAATAGTACGTTTAACTTATAGTAAGATTCATGTATTCATGTCGAATTTAAATATTGTCCCTATTATCGACCAAATACACATACAGAACATAAACTTTGTACTTTCACATTTAATTTTATCACTTAAACCCTACCTACTGATAATTTTATGGATAAGATAAAACCAATTCAAGAGGACTAGACCCCGATTAGTGAGGCTAGTTGCTTAATTAGTTTTGGCAAAGGATCGAGGATAATGCTGATTAGTAGGATGAATTCAACATACCTACTTAGATAGTAATATAATTTAATTAAAATATGTAATTAGTATTTCTATAGATTTCTATATGATATAACAGAATACGTTTGGTTTTGTATTATAACCTGAATTAATTAAATTAAATTAATTTCTATGACTCTAAGGCTATGAGGCTGAGTAGGTATTACGGAAATGATTTTTGTACTAAACGAGACCTGTCTCAAATACATAAGTTAAATAGACAGTAACATTCTTTATCCAAATAAATCCAAAGAAACTTCGCTGTTGTTCTGTAACTATTGAAAATAAAAGCAATACTTTGTTTTAAGTGAACAGAAAATAAACAAAAATATAATAATGGAATGAAAGCCTGTTGAAGCGGAGCAATCCGTCTCATTGAGTGACGAATCACTTCAGGCGCGGTAAGCTCTCTGAGCTTATCTACGAGTAGGTACGAGTGCGTCACATTCTGTTAACTGTGCCGGTCGTAGATATTAAAATAAGTATTTTATAACATTTTAGTGTCTATTCCTATGTTACTTAAAATATAAGATCCTAGTGCATATATTATCTACTTTAGGGCATACTTTGTTTTTTTTATTTGTACCATAACAAAGGAATGTCATGGTAGCTTTAAATTATGTAATTCATGCCGAAACTTCTTTACTGCATATACATAGGACCTATATTCTTATCAAGATACCAAGGCAGTTCATTTTTCTTTTGAATATATATTAAAGACCGAAACTGTAAAATTTTTGAGCATGAAAAAAATAATGGCATTGGAGATACGAAAGTTTATAATTATCGCTAGTTATTAACATACATATTAATATAATACCTATTCGTCATTCTAATTTATAATAAACAAATTAAATCAACGACTTTCTATCAATTTACTTTACCGTGTACTTAGGTGTAAAATATTGTAAAATAATATTCTATATAAATAATTTATTATAATGCTACGTGCATATCACATATATTTCTACTGAAATACAAAATGGTGACTGATTACGAATCCAATATGTCACCACCCTTGAAAGTTTAAAATAAATACATACGCACAGCGATTAATAACAAGAACCGAACAAATGAAATAACTGAACTTTGGTAAAATGCGTAGGTCACAAGAAATGTGATGGCAATAATAAACATAAATTTAATAATAATATAAATAATTTATAAATAATAATAATTTAATAATCCTATAAAGGAAGGATCCTTATATGTATTATACAATATGTATTCGGAATCAAAGCGCGAACAGCTTGTGTCTGAAATCGAGAGTACTCTCACCAGAGTCTCCGATTGGGGGCGATTGAACTTAGTTCAATTCAACCCTACCAAGACACAAGCCTGCGCGTTCACCGCTAAGAAAACCCCTTTTGCTGTGGCTCCGCAATTCCAGAACACGTCCATTACCATCTCTAAGAGCATTGGGATTCTCGGTGTCGACATCTCTAGCACAGTTGAGTTCCGTAGTCACCTCGAAGAAAAGGTCAAGCTGGCGTCCAAGAAGCTCGGTGTGCTGAATAGAGCGAGGCGGTACTTCACTGCGAACCAGAGACTTCTATTGTATAAGTCGCAAGTTCGGCCGCACATGGAGTACTGCTCTCATATTTGGGCAGGAGCACCTGGATACCAGCTCGGTCCTTTTGACTCGGTTCAGAGACGTGCTATGAGAATTTTCGATGATCCCAATCTCTCTAACGGTATCGAACCACTTAGCTTGAGGCGAGACTTCGCATCGCTTTGTGTGTTCTACCGAATATACAACGGACTGTGTTCTGATGAATTGTTTGACATGATGCCTACGGGTACCTTTTACCATCGCACCGCTCGCCATCGACAGGGAATTCATCTCCACACGCTGGAACCTAAGTGGTCTCGGACAGTGCGGTTTCAGAGGTGCTTCCTCCCGCGTACACTTAGATTGTGGAATGAACTACGTGCCGAGGTTTTCTCGAGAGACTACAGCATGGGGGTTTTCAAGAAGGGTATATTAAGGTTTCTTAAGGGTCGGCAACGCGTATCACCCCTGGTGTTTCAGGCGTCCATAGGCTACGGTAACCGTTTACCATCAGATGGGCCGTATGCTTGTTTGCCACCTAAGTGGTATAAAAAAAATGTATAATATATAACTCTTTGGGAGCAAAATTTAAATATTGTGAGGCAAACTAACAGTTCGCTTAAATAAAACATACGTATTCTTTTTTATTATTCAAGTACAAATTAATTAACAAAAATATTTGTATTGTTCTCAAGAACGCAGGTCTGCGTTCTTGAGAACAAAATATTTATACCTATAAGCAGTTTTTTTTAGCTTAATTTGTAAGCAATTGTTTATATACATTAACTTTGAAGGTTTTGTCTGAATGTGGAGTTCATTCTCAGAAGAGTGTATTCTTATAAGATGTATTCTCATAAGAGAGATGCTAACTCTTATAAAACGTATGCTTAAATAGCTAAAGGAAAAAGTATAATATTTAATTAAATCTGTGAGGATGCGCTATTTATTTAGGGGCTGTACTATTTTATTATTTAAGTATACTGCTAATAAAGAAATAATTACCTTAGAAAGAACTCGATAGCAAACCAGATTACAACAACAGTTTCCATGTAAAACAGAACTATCCCAGCCTTCGCCTCGTATTCTTCGATCGTAGAGAATACAGACAGCGACAAACACATGAACACCATCAGGAACCTGCATAAAAATACAGACGTATTTATTCAGGATATTTATGAGTATTACCTACGGGTAAGAAAGTAACGCTTGACTTTGTTAAGTCTTTTCATGCTATTTAGGGAAAGTTAAGTAGGTAATCCCTAAAAATAACGACTACCATTTGTGACGTAAATTTGCATATGAAATCAACACAACACAAGAATAAATCGATCGTAAAAGTAATTATTGGAATTAATTTAGTTTGGGCGGAGATAACGTAGGTACATAAGTCGAATTAAGACTCTCTTTTAGCAGTTAGAAATAAATACGAGTACACAGTATATATGTATAATAAGAGAGCACAGTACGACAGCTAGTAAACTTTAAACTCACAGACCGACGGCTTCAAACATTTGTTGTGAATGTAACAGCAAACAACCTCGTGAAATGCTCTTTGCAGTGAAAATCAAAATTAAAATAAGTATAGCGTATTCAGATTTATTGTTACAAATAAACGATTGTATATGAAGTTTTTCGCTCTCAGATAAAAAGTCATTTTTTTACATGAGGAAAGGCGAGAACCTCATAGACTCAAAATAAAATGGCAATTATGAGGAAGAGGAGGAGAATTAGCATAAATCTTTTAGATACTGTAGGGAGACAAAAAAGTAATACAACTAATATGGCAAGTAAATTGTGCTTGTAAATTTGTGCTATACATAAATTTCTAACCGTTATTTACATTAATCTCGACACAAAGTGTTTTGTTATTCTTTCTGGTAGTTGATAAGTATCACGAAAACAGTGTTGTTTACAAATAGAAAAAGTGGGTTAATGTCTCGCTGGAGAAGACTTACACAATCATATGATACAGGACAGCCTTTACACCCCTGGGTCGTTCGAGGAAGTTGTAGAACTTGGACTGTAGACGGCGATATCGCGCGTCGCGTCGCGTGGCGCGGTAACTGAGCGGTTTTCCCAGCAGAGACATCCGAGGCGTCGCCAGCCGGTCGCCACCACTCTTACTCTCACTGCAAAGATTGATACGGACACATCTCATACCTTATATATAACACTAGCATATTAATATATAACTATTGGACATTACATTTTTATCGTATGCTATTTTGTCATATACTAAAAAATTATTTTCTTGTTATACCTAATTGGTTTCGTTAGGTCATTCGTTTGTAATACAATTTAAACAAATAGATTAGGTTTCTAGAATTAAAAAAACAATTAAAAGTTAATGTTTGTGCCCAATATATATAATAGTTGTAATAATTTAAATAGTGAAGTTATTTCATGCTCTTAACTGAATCTGTTGGTCATTTGCAAAACATTTTGTTATGTAAATAAATACATATACGAATGATAATCTTATTTAATTTCTATTAACACATACTCGGACATATATATATTTAGCCTAATTAAACAATAGAAAATATTTAGGTTAATTCAGTACTTTGGTTTATAACTAACATATTATTCGAGTATTGGAAAATACTTAGTATTTTTGTCAAATTAAAAAAAATCATGTACCGAACTTATAAGTAAGAATGTATGCCGAATACAAGTTTATATTATTTCCTAATAAAAATATAATTTATGATGCTATTGTTTCTTATGCACTGCATTTTTAACGAAGTTTAGATGGTATACATTAGGAAATCAGTTATTTAAAGCAGGACCGGAAATAATTAAGTAGGGTCCTACTTTTCAGAAAAATGGGCAATACACCGTTCAGTTTTAGTTTTTTTTAAATGTCTCAGTAAATAAAGGTTTAAAAAAAATATGTAGCTATCTTTTAAATTACTATAGCATTACAGTATTTTTTTGTTATGCCTTTAATAGAGTAAGTATTATATGTACCATATACATATAATACTTATTCTATTAGACGATACGGTTTTTCCAAGGATGACGGTTCACGCAGTATTCAGTAAATTATTCAATGGTAGATTTAAATGTTTTCATTATAAGTATTCTTTCTCTTGCAGGCGTATTCTAAAAAGACGAAGTACACGAAATATTCTTATTTTGTTACTACTCGGATAGTACGAATAGCACGATACGTCGGTCTGTCGGTATCGGATTACTTATTTATATATACAGTCAGGATTATGACAACGCAGAATACTGTTTATTATTGTAAACGATACATACGTGATACTTCTTTTACCGGCTACTGACTATGTAGGTACATTTTATATTGAAAGAATTAGTCACTGCCTCTGTGAAGATTTAGAATTACGATTTAGATTTTTTAATAGGCATATACAGGCAAATAAAGAAGAAAAATAAATTCCATTTTTTACGACTAATATGATATTAATTGTATATTTAAAAAAAATTGTTATACCTCAATAAAGTGCATACAAAAATATTTAGATAAGTAGGTACACAGTCTTGACACAGGTGGATTATCTCTAATAGATATTGCTTGCAGTGACAGTACATCTATTTTGAAAACTGTTTAACTGAAGATTATTCGGGAATGAATGTATATATACATTAAAACTTCTATTGAATAACGAGCAAAATATACATTATCGAAATATTCATTTTACACACACGTTAGGTACATATGTTAGTTGACAATATTTCAATGTACTACAATACATAATGTTATGTTAGTCAATGTAGACTTAGGTCAACAACTCGTTTATAATAATAAATGAGGCACATAATTATGTATTGATGGTGTGATTTTGTAATATATTGATTACTAAGGAAATATGTATTATTTATGCCTTAGCGATGGCACTAACTTGGATTTTTCATATTATCGCTTATATTTATGACTATGAAAGAAATTAAAAGTTAATAATGAATAGACACTAAATTATTTCTATTATTGTTATCGAAATAATAAAATTGTAGTGTAAATTATATTGGAGCTCAGAATATCATAAAATAAAATTTACTATTATTTAATGTATAACTATTGTTAATTCAAAAAAATATTACTAATTGCATGTGTATAACGAAAGGCGGAATTATCGCTTAAAGCAAACTTACAGAGAACGTAATATAAGTACTCATATAATACTCGAGGACAATACCGTAACAAATAAATACTGTAGTTTAAAATTTTGTCGATAGGGTCGCGTCAGTACGAATGTCTGTCGGATTTGTGAGTACGAGCTACAAGTGAGCTACTGTGTGAAGATAGCTATGTTGTTTATGGTTTTCACTTACTATCGTAGGCACTTTATTTCACTTTTAAATTAATCCTGCCTTTAGCGTATATACCCATATAGTTACATGCGTAATGAAACGGTGTAACGGTGTGATTACTTATGTAAATAAATACTTTAAAGACACTCGCTAAGCTAAGGAAAAATCTATTCATAAAACATAACTTAAATTGAACAAAGAATGTAATGTTATATAACGACAGTATGTTTAAATGTGGATAATTTAAGATATGCTTTATTATGTTATACAGAATTATACATTGCCATATGATTACGAATCACGACTAACATTAAGAGTTCCAAATAGTATAAAAGAAATAAAAAATAGCAATTTAATATGATAGGTAGGATAGGATAGACCTATGAAAACTTATGAATGAAAAATATTCACAATTAAAAATCAAGGTATTAGCTATAATTGTGAATATTTTTCATTCAAAAGTTTTAATGCGCAATTATTATAGACAATTAGTAGCAAGGTATCTACAAAGTTACGATAGTTCTATGAGTACATATGAAGGTTACGGAGTTGGTCGTAATGGGTACACGAAGTCGGAACACAACACCGCTGAAATATAAATACAATTACAATACAATTTGTTTTTTTAGAACTTTTTAATATAATTTCTAATCCAGTGCAGTAGTTTCCGAGACTGCTTCAATTGCGATTCGATTCCCGCATAATACAAGTTTGGCATTACGTAATGCTACGTAATTTGTGTGTCTGTAACTTACAAGTCCATACTAAAATAATTTTGTACGAAGTATTTTTTTTTACTCTGTGTTTGTCATGGAAATTTTATCAATACTGTTTAATTTAATATCAACATACTTTACCTATATAAATAACAAATTACCTATTTTGTTTGTATATTTTATACAATCATTTCGAACTGATTGATATACGTCAGTCTACCTATATCAACTTTAGTAAATTTGTAGTATAAAATTTTTACGGTGCTCATAATTTATCAAAACTTACGCAGCAATTCAATAGCATCATAAACAAGTTGTTGAATGAGGGTGTAAGGTAACATGTCTGCCAAAGTTTCGGCCTTAATTATTCTCACGCGTTGAATATGGTATTAGGTATATATGTATATGTCTATAGTTAGCTAGCGAGAAACATTGGCGTTATGTTAGGAAGTTAATTTTCTTCGATTTGCCTTGTGCAACTGGTTCATTTAATAAGGGTTGCTATACAAAGTAGGTGGTTTTATTTTACAATATTGACATTTCTTAGAGATGTAATAGCTTTTTCTGTGATTCAATATATAAGTAGGTTATTGTAGCGTTAGCTGTTATTCACAGTTTAATTTCATAACATACCTACATATGGGATGACATATATACATACATTTGGAAGCAAATACGATAAAATAAATATTTAATACATGTTTCGCTGTTGGTTTTGAAGTAGTCAGTATTAGAATAATATTGTTATGTAAACGAGATTGTGCTAGTTCATAATGAGTCAATAGGTATATATGTATGTATCTTGTATATAGTATCATATTGTTTTATACACGGTTTTTATCAAATTTAGGGCCCAATATTTTTTAGTATTTGTTGTACTCAATCCATTATTTAATAATACAAATAAGTAGACCAAGGTAGATTAATTTATTGCATTTTTAATTAGTTTAAGCATTTCATTAGCTTTCTAATAATATGCGAATGTAGTTTTTCTTATTTGTAGCAAGTACATATGCAACAACATATGTTTTGTATCACAAATAATATGTACTTATGGCCAGGTATTGCTAGATACGGTTAGTTTTGTACATTTATAGTAGTTTAAATGAATGCTACACTCTATTCTTCTTTAGTCTTAATTTTGCCTATTTAGGCTGTCAAGTAAAGCATTTTTTATAATAATTAACACGCATTTATTATAAAAATGTTTTATTTTGTGTATTTAATTATAGATTTTACGTATATCAACGTAATTTATATGAAAAATATTGTAGTAATATATCTATAAAGCAAGCTTATTTTAAACAACAAGAGATTTGTATTATAGACATATTGGAGTACATGAGTGAACGAGTTAATAGATAATAGTAAATTTAAAAGAGTACCCGCCAAATGAAATTTTTTTCCATTAGTTTATACATTTCCTAACGAATGTAACACGAGTGTTGGTGTTACAGATGAAAGTCATTGTTTGGAATGTTTTGTTTGTTGTGGTACAATTCACGATCGTAAATCTATAAGTGAAAAGATTTACAGCAATGTTACTTGACGTCTATTTCATAGACAATGTAGGTATTATCTTTTATAGTTCCTAATTATTTATTTAAATTCCTCTAGTTGTTTTTGTGTTACAGAATGTAAGTACAACTATATAGTACTAAAACTCTTCAATCAATGTTCTACTTTAACAGCTATAAGAAGGAAGTAAATAGAAACCATAATATGTTACGTCCAATTTAATAAATGTACAGTCAGTCAACACGACTATTAGGTAAAGCTGTGTTTGTTATTTATATAGTAGCAGTAGCTACCTACTTAATTTAAATAATGTTAACGGATAGGATAGACATAACGTTTTCTAATGTTTAATAAAATTCCATCATAGCCATAATGGGCCGTCAGCAAAAACAATATATCATTTTGTGTACCTTACAAGATGTACGAAGGTATAAATAATTTATTTTATATTATTGAACTAGCAAACAATCTGATGGCCCACGTGATAGTAAGTGATAACAGTCGCATATATACATACATAAACATCACTAAATGTCACGTTATCATGTGACACCTATGATTCTAGGCGTTGCCTTTTCAGAGCATGTCTCTTAACC